AAAAAACGGATCTACGTTTAATATTAAATGACTAATTATTGTTACGTGACCATTAAAAATATTCTAGATAATGGTATAATTCCTATTGAATATATAACATTGTATCAGTCAATATTTGTTTCCTTCAAAAAAACGGATCTATAGTTAAATGGCTAATTGTTGCTACGCGATCAAAAATATTCTAGTTGATATTACTAATGATAACAGGTAATTAATGATACTATCATTTATAATAATAATTATTATATATAACAAACATTGTATTAATATTTGTTTTCTTCAAAAAACGGATCTAAGTGACTAATTATTGTTACGCGACCAAGAAAAAAATTTAACATCAATATCAAAATATTCTAGTTCCATTGTATATTTGTATTAGTAAAACAAGCTGAAACACAACTTATTTCTAACTTAAAATGATCGTTATTTGTATTAATTTTAATGTGGTTCTTTTCAATAAAAATAAAATTCTATAATTTATCCTTAGTAGGAAATCGAGGAATCTTCAAAACATGAAATTTGACATTTTTAAAATGTAATTAATCTATATGCCATTTGCCATTATTATTATCATGAATGCTCGAAGGTATTACGAATCTCGCATTATTACGAGTGCTCGCATCATTACGAATGCTTTGAAAGTATTATATTTATTACAAATCGACAGAATTATAATAATAATAATAAATCTATAATAATAAATCTATAGTAATAAATTCTATAATAATACATCTATAATGATAATACATTTATTTTATCTAAAAATACTAAAATATTATACACTTCATACATTGCATACATTTCTTATTTTTCTTATTTAAGTGGTTGTTTAAACTATCAGCTTATGCCAATAATGGAAGTTCTGTGAATAATTCATTATTAGTTTGATCTGTTGGATTAATAATGTCAGTTATATCTATATTATCTAGATCCTTTAAGTGGTTATTTAAATTATCAATTTGTGCTGATAATAAATATAATAAATCATCACTATTAGTTTGATCTGTTAAATTAACAATATCTTCAATAGTGTAATTTACATCAACATTGTCTAAATCCTGCATAACTTGATGAATATGAGGATGGAGATCTGGGTTTCCTTGCCAACATGCTTTATTATTATAAAAATAAAAATTATTTAATTTTAATATTGGTATAAATTATTAAACATTTTCAAGACTGTCCATTGAGAAAATTATATTATGTAATTCTTACCTGTATATATTTCTGCATATTTTCTTGGAGTTCCCTTGATTATTGCTTCATGTTCACCTGATATTATGCCAAGCATTATATCAGGGAATTTGACTGACTTATCTGCAAATGGAGCATGACCACTTGAAATTTCCCATAAAAGCACTCCAATACTATATATATCAGATTTTTCATTGCAACTATAATTTTCAATATTCCCTAAATATTGTGGATCTGAGTAATTTATTGAGCCTAATCTTTTAGAAACCTCAATTGAAGGATCCAATAAGAATTTTGAGATTCCAAAATCACAAATTTTAATATTTCCATTATGAATGAGAATATTTTTGGAATGCTATTTAAAATATTAATGTTAGTTATTACTATTAAAAATGCAAAAATAATTAAATTTAAATAAGTAATAGTATGTGTGTACCAGATCTCTATGCACTATTTTATTTTCATGCAAATGCCTTACAGCACTTACAATTTGTTTTGCAAATTTTAATTTGATATTCCAATCCATTGTATTGAAATTGGATTTTAAGTAATCACACAAATTACCATTGTTTGCATACTCTAATACAAACATGTAATTCTTTTTAATAATAATATGTAAAAAAATTTAAATTAACAAAGTATAATGAATATATTGTAAACCAACAATAATTTAATAATAAAAAGTCAACATACTTTCTTTTGTTATGCCATAAAATCTTAATATATTACTGTGAAATTCCACTTTACAATGTTGTTTTGCCT